AAGGCTGGCTGGGGAATTCTAGGAGTTGCAGTCCACCCATCTGAAAGCTGCCAAGGTTGAGAAACTCTGAGATAGACCTTTGCTCTTTTCCAGCAGAGTGGCTTTTATGTATGTACTTGCTGTTGATACAAATAGCAATCCTGGGATGGTTAGTTAGAAAGTTCAGTAAAGTGCCTGAACCTGCTGGTATTTGTGTGTGCTTATAATATAGGAAGAGTTTCTTCAACTAACTACTTGTGCATTGCACCTGCCTCATTTAGGCTGCTTGAATGGCTGCCAGATGTTCCAGAGGACATTAGGTGGATGAAAGAACAGACACGGAAAGTCTGTCATTATCTCATGAGAAAAGCCAAGAAGAAGCTAGGAAGCCATCTCTCAGCCAGGTAGGATAGTTGCTTCTTGTCTTGCATTTCTGAAGATACTGAAATGTTGTGAGGCACGATGCTATGTTTTCACATGATTGATGCCATCAAATAATTGAATTGGGAGACTTTCCCATGGATTTGCCCATATTCACATTGAAATTAGTTCCTTTGGACTATGTTCCAGGTATGCATGCTTAAGGTGTTGTGTTAATTTGCTTTGTTGTTAAAACCAGTCTCTTCTGGACTGGAATAGCATATAAACCCAAGTAAGTATAATGAGCAAATAAAAAACAAAGAAACATATTCCTCAGTCAGGATAATTTGAATATAGCTATGTTCCTATAATCTAACAATGGTTATGAACATGGTGTCTATTGTGGCATTCCAGCCTTTTCTCTGGAGGCCAAATGCTTTAATAATCACAGCCTATCTCTCTGTGATTGTCCTCTTACTGTGATATACAGTAGTTGTTGCTGTTTTAATTTTTAATGTATTGTTTATTTTTATTTCATGTTATTGTTTGAGCCTATAGATTTTATGGATTGTAACTTATCCTGACATCCTTAAGATAGTTGTCAGGCTATCATTGTTCTAATAAATAAAAATACATAAATAAAATGTAAGAAACCTAGTAGAGTCCGCTTCATTTCAAAACCAGGTAACTGAATCCACTTTTACATTTGATTTAAATTTGTAAAGTGTAAAATGGCTAAGGTCCATAAATGTTGTACAACAGGATTCCTCAACCTTGGCAAGTTGAAGATGTGTGGACTTCAACTCCCAGAATTCCCCAGCCAG